GATGGTGGGCTTTCCTGATGGTCGGCTGCTAGACGGAGGGTCAGTGTCCCGTCGGTCATCATGACGATCGTCCCTTCGATCGTCTCTTCGGTCCTGACCTGACCGATCGGAGCGTCCATCACGATCAGATCGATCGGAACGGTGATGGGAACGCCGGTGATCTCTCCGATCGGTATTCCTCTTGTTGTCCTCTCTCTTCCCCACACACTTGTCCAACTTCCCCAGATTGAGCAAATCCTCCAACAGTTGGCGCAAGTGGGTACACTCCTCGGTGTCATGCCCGGCACATCGGTGGTAAGCACAATGCTTACTCTTGTCGGGGCCGTCTCGATCGGGATGGGGGAGTTTGATGAGATTGCAGGACTGGGCGTACTGCATGGCCTCCGCTGCGGATCGGTTCAGGGCCATAAACTCACCAGGCCTGGTGCGGGATCGGGGATGGTCATCGCCCGATCGATGTTCCGCCCGGCCGGCCGGTTTACGGGACGAAGAGCCGACCTCCTGCGAGCGCTTTACGGCATTCGCCTCGCCGGCGTTAGCGTAATCTGTGACCCTTCGAAGGGCCTCCTCATAAGTGGCCGGGGGGTGTAAGATGAAATCCTGATATAAATATCCCGCCCGGAGAGATATGTGAAGCATATGGGTGGCGGTCGCATCGTCCATGGGCTCAACCTCCCCGACCGCCGCCTTCCATTTGATGAGGAAGTCGGTCAAGCTTTCCCCTTCAAGCTGCTTGGCCTTCTCCATATACATATAGGGCTTCCTCACCACTTTGGAAGTGATAAACTTCCTCACAAACTTGACCGCCAAGGTGTCAAATTTGTCGATCGAGCCCGGTTGCAAGGTTCAGAACCATTCCGCCGCCCGACCGGTGAGCGTGGAATAAAAGGCCCTACACATCACGGCGTCTGACACGCCCTTCAGCATCATATTATTGTAGAAATCGTTGACGTGGGCTTCGGGGTCTGCCCGACCATCATAACTCTTCTCTCCAGAGACCTTTAAATCAAGCGGGTAAGGTTGAGCCATCACTGCTGCTGTAAAAGGCGTCTGGTGCAAGGTTGATTGGTCGACCGGGGGTGTTGTAGGGTGCGCGTTTCTGAATTGCGCAAACTCCGCCTGGAGGTTGTAGAGCAATCCTCGGGTCTCGTTGAGCTCGGCGGCTTGAACGGCTTGGGCTGTGTCCCGAGCGCGTCGCCGTCGGTGTGATCTCGACCCGCTATGCCCGGATGAAGCCTCCTGGCTGGCTTCCTGCATCTGCACGTCTTCCGGCTGGCGGATTGGGTCTTGGGGCCCCAATCGTTGCCGCATCTCCGGTCGAAGACGGTCAAAAGCTACCGCTCGGGTAACTTCCTCAGGGTCCTCCGCTCGGGCGGGAACCTCCTCTGCTTGCTGGGCCTGTCGTGGTGCCTCCATCGCAACAGCACCCCCCGACCCCAACCGCGAACGAGCCGAGCGTCGAGCCCGGGAAGTGGGCTGATGCTGCGGCTCTACTTGAGCGGCCGGGTAAACTGGAGGGGCGGCGGCTGGAGTCGTGTACGCAGGCATGAACGGTGGGTAACCAACCGGAGGTGTGTAATACATCGGTTGGCCTGGCCAATACCCGTACGGTTGAGGTGGGACCGGATATGGATACTGACCGGGGTACATCATTGGTTGTGGATATTGCTGACCGGGCGTATGAAACCCCGGTTGTATGTAATTCACCGGCTGTTGGGCGGCCGGGTATGTGTTGGATGGATGCGGTGGTGAGAGGTTGAGATTCAGGTCCACCGTCTGACCTTGCTGTTGGGTGGCGTGGTGGTCGGATGAGCTTGTTGCATCCGCCTGGTCATCGGCGAAGTTGTTGTATGCCCACGGATACATTGTTGCAAAGAGACCGGGTGCTCGTCAAGACGTTGCTTTTTTGCACGGGTCCCCACAGACGGCGCCAAAATGATACTGCTAATTATACGTAAGCAATATAAAATAAACCCGAGACCAATCAAAGCAAATAGATATCTTTATTGATCACGGTAAAAGGCCCTAAGTACAATCTACTTGGTTGGTTGCTCTGAGTGCCGACTGACTGCGGTCGGGAATCTCTAATAACAACCTATCGATCGTCCAAAAGTCCTCTACACTGTAGCTATTGTAGGTATTTATAGCCGCTGTGCCGGAGACAAGAATCTGGTCGTTCGGCATGTTCTCCACGTAGCCACCACGTGTCATCTTCCCGGGTGCCCTGTCTGTCGTCGTAGAGAGCCGCCACGTGTCCTTTGTCAGCTCTCTCACCAAAGGGCTACCGCTCGGTAGTTGACACTGCCGCTCGGGCAACTCCCGGTCTGACCCCGATCGGGTTCTTCACACGAAGCCCGACCTGTTACCTGCAAAGACAAAGAGAAAAGGACGAAGGCATCTCGATCGGGGTAAAGCTTATGCCGGTCGGGACATTCCCTACCAAGAATATATATATAAATACTATACGTGAGATAAAAGAAATAGAAATGATGAATTGATAATGATTGATGCTGCATGAATTACGAAGTTAAACAACTATTTATACACTAAAAGTGAGAGAGTTATGCGGCATTTGCGTGAAGCTCCGCAACGATCGGTGATGGCATGCAATATGTCATGCAAGAAGTGAAGACATGCAGCGACGTGGACGGAAGTAGTCTCCACAGATTTGAGCCACACATAATTATTTTTCTAACACCTTTTCTAGGTCGTTCCTTTTTAGATCGTATCATTTTAATTTGTTTATAAGTACATAAGTGATTAATTGTAAGTACAAAATGTATCAACAACAAATTATTTTTGGACTACGATTCATAATGCAATATAAAACATAATTCGTGATATAATTTGTCCGCTCATATCTCCCGGGGCCGTCTGGCCCTCCTTTGCACCAAAAAATAAAAATAATTTGCCCACTTATTACCAATAGTTATGCTGTGCAACCAAATGCACCATGCGCATGGTGCATATGATGCAAAACGACGTCGTTTTGACTAAAAACGCGCGTCCCACTTAAAAAAAAAATCAGGTTCGATTCTCGGCAATAGTATTATTGTGGATATATAGTTATGAATTTCTGGATATTTAATTCATTCATTGTGAATATTTAGTTCATTCATTGTAGATATTTACTTCATTCATTCACTGTGGATATATAGTTATGAATTTCTGGATATATAGTTATGAATTTCTAGATATTTAGTTCATTCATTGTGGATTTAGTTCAATCATTGTGGATCTTTAGTTTATTCATTGTGGATATTTAGTTCATTCATTGTGAATTTTTAATTCATTCATTCATTCACTGTGGATATATAGTTATGAATTTGTGGATATATAGTTATGAATTTATGGATATATTAAAAATACTATTGCCGGAAATCAAACCTGATTTCTTTTTTAAGTGGAACGCACGTTTTTTAACCAAAACGACGTCATTTTGCATCGTATACACCATGTGCATGGTGCATTCGATTGCACAGCCTAATTTGCGACTTATTACCTCGCCAACCTTTGAGAAGACCCAAGCAAATTATCTTATGCATATATTTGAATTTGGGATTAAATGACTCCAACGTTATATCCCATGCAAGTAAATGACTAAATGCCATGTGCTTCAGCAAATAGCAGAGTTGATTTTCTCACTCTAGTTTTGAAGCTCTCGCTTCTGACTACTCATTAGGGAACCCAACTATCCCTTTCTTGATTTTTCTCTCCGGTGGTCACGGGTCAGTGAATATTTGGATGTGTTTCTAAATGAACAAATACCAATTTTCATTCCACGAGTATTAATAAAATGATAATTTTAATCCACATTTTTAATTCCTACCAAAACTCATCCCACAACTATTGTTTTACTACCAAAGTTAATGACTCCGGTCACCGGAGATGTTAAAACATGCCGGAGTCACTTTGGTGGCCAGATGTCATTATTAAACTTAATAGCCTGATTAACGTATGTCATTCATACCCTAATCCTTAATCCTTCTTCCCTCCCTAATAATTGTCCTTGTTATTGAATCCTTTTTGTAAGTTGTGAAAATAATTATTTCTCTGTTATTTTGCTATCAAAATACTAATTGAAATAGGATCATATCTGCTGTGAATTTTGCTATCAAAATACTTATTCAAGCAAGATTATCTCTATAGTGAATTTTGTTAAATTTATGGTGGTGAATTTTGCTGTCAGATGGGTGTGTAAGTTAATGCATTCATTTATTTCATATTGTGAATAGCTATGGTCCATGGGATGAATGATGATGAATGTACTGTCAATACATCTATTAATTTAAGTTCCTTATCATTCCTTCATTATTAAACTTAATAGCCTGATTAATGTATGTCATTTGTACCCTAATTCTTAATCCTTCTCCCCTCCCTAATAATTGTTCTTGTTATTGAATCCTTTTTGTAAGCTGTGAAAATAATTATTTCTCTGTTATTTTGCCGTCAAAATACTAATTGAAATAGGATCATATCTGCTGTGAATTTTGCTATCAAAATACTTATTCAAGCAAGACTATCTCTATAGTGAATTTTGTTAAATTTATGGTGGTGAATTTTGCTGTCAGATGGGAGTGTAAGTTAATGCATTCATTTATTTCATATTGTGAATAGCTATGGTCCATGGGATGAATGATGATGAATGTACTGTCAAGACATCTATTAATTTAAGTTTCTTATTACTTCTTATTATATATCATCAATATCCAAAGTGACTCCGGCGTAATTAACTTTGGTAGTAAAACAACAGTTGTGAGATGAATTTTGATAGAAATTAAAAATATAGACTAAAATTGTCATTTTGTTAATACTCGTGCGATGAAAATTGGTATTTGCTCTTTCTAATTCACGTTTCCAAGTTTTGTTCAGTTCGAATTTTTTAGTTACCTTATTTGAATATGATTTTTCTAGGCATTTATTTATTTCTTAATTTTTCGTCCGTTAAACTCTTTCATGAAATAGGGTAATATATCACCTCCTCCATTTAGGTATTTCTCACCTAGATTTTTTGCTTCTATTTTTCCCATCGCCTAAGGCGATTTCCGGCGGCGTTTTCAGCGTCCTTCTGGTGGTGGTCTTCTCGTGGGCGGTTATGGCAAGTCTCCGGCGGAAGAACCTTAGACGGCCAGATTGGGAGTTCTGACTTCTCTATCCGTCTATTCCTGGGTTTGAACGGTAGAACGGCCGGATTTCTCTGGTACTTTTGATTCCTCTATCAGGTTTTCTCATCCCCATATTTTCTTAATCCTGTTTCTTAGCGAGTCTGGATCTGTGCTCTGCCTTTGTTCCTTTGTCAGGCTTAGACGGAGTTTCTCTTGGCTACTCGTTTGTTGGCTCGGCTGAGACAGCGGTGGAACTTCTGCCGGTTGGATTTAGTCTCCTTCTCGGTGGTGTTTCCGGTGACTAGTTGTGATGATGGTGTCAACTGTCAACGGTGGCTACCCGTTTGTAGGCTCCAGCAACGATTCGTCATCTGCTATCAGTGGGTTAAACCGGAGGTTCTACCTTACTCCGGTGAGGTTAGCCTTAAGATTTTTGTGTTTTAATTTATCCATTTTCGTGTGGTTGTTGGAGTTGTTCTGCTGTTTGAAATTGAGGGTGGCCGGTTTGTGCCCCTATTCCTTTATTTGTCTCCTTTTTAGTTTGGTTTATTGTGTGTTTAATCTGTGATTTTTGTCCTGTCATGTGATTCTTGTTGTGTTATCATTTGGTTGGGAAGTGTTTTCCTCTTTTTGCTCTATGAAGGCTGCTGGCTTGTGCACCTAATTTTTTTTTTTTTTTCCTTATTTTTCTTGGACTTTGATGTGTTTGGGTGATTTCCGGTGATTGTGTCGGTCATCCCAATTTTTTTGGGTCCCGACATGACTAGCTCATCGGCATTTGACCACGTATGTCATAAGTTGTCATTTAGGGGGTCTATTTTATTGATTGACTACTAGCAGATACTGGGTTCCAAAGTTAAACCTGCCTTAGCATTTTTCCCAAAAAATTTCCATTGTGTTTGACTATTTGACTTTTGTGGGCTTCCACTTTTTTTTTTTTTTATCTTTGTTTGGATTAATTTCAATGGCTAAGACTAATTTAATCTCGGAGGGAGGATGACTTCCTTGGTGAGGACATGCCCAGTGGTATGGTTCTACCTCACTCTATTATCTGACTTACCAATTCATTGCCAATGATCCGAGTATATTAGAAGGCGCCAGACCCTGAGAACATGTCTAAAGAGAACCCCAAATTACTTGCCCAAAATTTGAAGGTAAACTTTGAGAAAATTCGTGAAAGGGCTGATCTCTTTTGGGAAAACCAAGAAACTATTGACCTAGATTTTAAAAATCTCTAATTTATAAGGCACAATAATGGGAAGGTCACTTTGGATAAAATTGAGATTTTTACTCTTAAAGATGATTGGGCTTTTGGGTTACTTTGCTCATTTGCTAGACCCCTTCCAAGCATCAAACCATTAGGGCCCTTATTGCTTCTTGGGAAGTTCCATGCAAGTTAGTCCCTCAAGTTAATGGGTTTTTCTTACTTCAATTCCACTCAGAATTAGATAGGATGAAAATCCTTGATGGGGATCCCCTACTTTCTTTCAGGATGAAAATCCTTGATGGGGATCCCCTACTTTCTTTTTGGCAAGAGTCTTTTCCTAAAACCCTTTGCACTTGGAGCTCGCCCCTTGTACTAAGATCTCTTCCACCCAAATCCACCCACCAATTTGGGTGAAACTTCCTGGGCTATCTTGCCAATGTTGACTTTCTAAAGCCTTTAGCAAAATTGCTTTGTGCTTAGGTGCCCCCATCTTGTCAATTAGGATTGGTTTGACATGTCTTTACCACACTAGTTAGGTGGGTTAGTGTACTATGTTTAATGATGGTGTCATTTAAGCTGCCAACACATGTGTAATAGTCTGTACTATCTTGCCTTATTTTATGTGAGTAGACTGTTATCTCTGGATTGACATTCTTTACCACCTCCAGTAAGCTGGGCTAGGGTACCACTTTTACTGCAGATACAACATTGTTGTTGGGTGTAATTGACTCCTTTGACAATGGCGTAATAGTTACTAATACATTCCTTTAAGCAAGTAGGCAGCTATAACCAATGTTAACCTGCCTTTATCATCCTCTATTAGGTGGGCTAACAATTCTTTTTCGGAGAGCAATTAGAGACGAAAAGCTAGTTGCGAAGATTTTTCGCCTTGTCTGAGCGTCAACAAGAGTTGGAATGTAATGCAATAAAAAAATTTCCTTTGTATATAATAGAGAGAGATAGAGCTCTCAAACATGGTAAGAGTGTTTCTCTCTCTAGGAAGAATTCTTTTTTTTTTTCTAATTCTAAAGCATTACACTTCCTTAGTCTTTGTTTAATTAAATATAATATTCGTTATCATACTAAAATTTTAGTATGATGACGAATATTGTATTTAATTAATTAAACAAAGACTAAGGAAGTGCGATGTTTTAGAATTAGAAAAAAGTAAGAGAATTCTTCCTAGAGAGAGAAACAATCTTGCCATGTTTGAGAGCTTCATCTCTCTCTATTTTATAGGAAAATGATAAACTATAATATTATCTCTAAGAATACAAGTACACGGGGCATATCCTGATCCAATAGAAAATTCTACATCCAATATCAGGTGGAATACGAAATGCAAGGTATCTATTTTGTAATACAAGTAAATGGATATTATTTCAACTATTATGCCGAAAATAAAGGATCATTTAAAGTATTATTAAGCAATAGTAGTAAATAATACTAAAAGTCAAAACAATATGAAATCATTCCCTTGACAAATAACAAAAAAAAGAAGAGATGGAGTGGCAACACTAGTCATGACTCATGAGCCTATATCTAATTAATTAGGAAAGATATTTTTTAAATGAAGAACTATTATTTCAAATGAAATTTTGAAAATTATTTTTTAGAAAGAATTTCATTTCTTGGTGCCAAACTTTAATGTGGTAGAAAAATGGATAATCTATTCTCTCTTTTTTTTTTTTTTAAATAATTTTTTTTGGATATTTGTAATGCTTACTCTCAAATGCTTTGTGTACACAGTAGTGATATTTTTTGTTTCTCCCCATCTTTGGGTTCCTATCTAATGATCCCGGGTGTAATCCTGGACGTGAAGCATAAGACTAAACTAAAAAGAGTTTTTATTTTTCAACTTTCTTGTGATTTTATCCAGTACACACATTTAACTACAAAACTAAGAATAAGAACCAAGGGATTGCGAAATTTGAAAAAATAAAAATAAAATCATCCGCAAAAATGGAAAGAGAGGGATTCGAACCCTCGGTACGAATAACCTGCACAACGGATTAGCAATCCGCCACTTTAGTCCACTCAACCATCTCTCCAAATTCAACTTGATAATTCTTATGCTACATTACACACCAAGAGATCAAGAAGGGAAGAGCAACATCGAAGCGCATCAAAAAGAAAACGTGGCATGGGCAAAAAGAGCCACCAAAGTAATCAAAACCTTAAAACAGTAGACCGGACTAAGTAGAGCATGATCTATCCAAAAATAATCCATCTCAACAACAAAAATCCGGAAGATTGAAAACACAGAACCAAATACACAAAAACAAGTTAGGAGCACACAACGAAGCACCAACGAAGAAACAAAGCTCTTTTTTTTTTTTTTTTTTTTTTTTCAAAAAAAAAAAAAAGAAGCATCCCTGAAGAAACAAAGCTACCGAAGGGGAAGATGGAAGATAGCAAGAAAATAAAATCATGGAGTCAACCCTACACAATTTTTTTTACTAGAAAAGAATGTTAAGATATATGTAAAGAATTAAACATGAATGAGAAACAAAGCAAATATAATCCTATACACCTCTTTGATGAGGAGAATCAATGCGGGGTCATTCAAAACTCTATACCTATGAATCATTGCATTTCTGTGGCGCCAAGGGTTGTATATAGTGCAAAAAAGTGCAAGGACAATGATCTTGGAAGAAAATCGAGTGCCCTTATGTAGCATGTTGATCCATTTAATGGATCTACGAATGACAATAGTTTTTCCCTTCAAGATCGAACTCCCTCCATGCCACATACTAAATCTTCAAAGGGAAGGGAAATTGAAAGAAATGATTATTATTAGTAGTTTCCAAAGAATTGTTGCAAAGTAAACAAGTCCTATCAATATAAAAAAAAAAGTAATATGTCTGTCGTAGTAAGTCTATCTAGTCAAAGCCTCGAAATTAAAGAATATTTTCTTAGGATGAAACCCTTCCAAATATGCCTCTAATAAAATGCATTTGATTACTAGTACAAATCAAATCATACATTTTAGCAATACAAATTATCACCTTTAACCAATTTGGAGCAGCTTTCAATACACGTTGAACTAGAGTTAAATTTAGGTAGACATAGATCAAATTTTTAAACAAATGGGAATCAATTTTTTTTGGAATGGATGTCTCACAATACGTTGGTGAGAAATGCTAGATTCCAAAGTGTGAAAGTTATGAATTCCCAATTCTTTATGAGACATCAGAAGACAAATAGTATACTGAGCAACCAAATGTGTTTTATGCCCCATGAAAGTTCCAACAGAGGTAAAAACATGGTCTATCATTGTTTGAGGATTGGGAAACTTTGCAATCAAAACCCAACAATCCCTTGAATGATAGACTTGATGAGCTCCAGCCTACCCGCATAGAAAGGGTATACTTTTCCATTAAGAGATACAATTAGAGATAGAGTCAATAATCTAGAGGGATGCACAAAGGTATACTCTTGATGCCCAACGATTGAGGGTTGCTTTTTTTTTTTCTTTTTTTTTTTTTTTATTGACTCTATTTTTAATTGTATTTCTTAATGGATTTTTTTTTAATTGACTCTATTTTTAATTGTATTTCTTAATGGAAAAGCTATCCAGGTAGACTGGAGCTCATCAAATCTATTATTATGTTTCCCTCTGTTGGAAATTCCTATGGGGATAAAAAACCTTTGGTTTCTCAGTATGCTATTTGCCTTTCGTTGTCTTAGAGAGGTTTGAGAATTCATGACTTTCACAATTGGAATATGACATTTGTTGTTAACATGTTGAGCGATATCTATTCCAAAATAGATTCCTTGTGAGTTCGATGGGTATCTATCATCTCTTCAAAAAGTTAGATTCCCCTTTGTTTAAAAATTTGGCTTTTTAGGGTTTCGCTCTGAGCTAAATTTAACTCTACTTCGACGTATTGAGAACTATCCCAAATTGGTTGAAGTTTGTTGATTGCTAAGGTGTATAATTTGCTTCGTGCTAGCAATCAAGATGCTTTTTGTTAGAGGCATGTGTAAAATGGTTTTAATCTCAGGAAAATACTCCTTTATTTTGTGGCTTTGTTTAAAAGATACTTGCTACAAAATACATGTCACTGTGCCTTTTCGGTCCTGTGTATTTTGTTGATGCTATCCTCTCTTCTTGATCTCTTGGGGTGCGACCTCATGACCATTGCGCTCTATTTCCCCCCATTTTTGGGGGGGGGGGGGGGTTCGATAGGGGAAGGATTTCATATTACTTTATCTTTTTTATTATGTACTACTATGTTTTTATTGCTTAATAATTCATTAAATGGACCTTTATTATGTATTCCACTAATCTTATGCCCGGTGTAAAATTATAATTACCATTTCCCTAAAAATGAAAGAGAAAGCTCTTAGACTTGGTTCGAGTCCTTCTCTCTTTTGGAAATTCTCTAACTTTTCTTGAGGGCGCCGTACTTTTTTAGTCTTTGTTCAATTAAATATTAAAATTTGATATCTTAGGGTTTTTAATTAGTTTATTTGTCGCAAAACATTATTACCAAAAAAAAGTTTTCTCTCTTGCCTGTGCTCCAACAAGGTGAAAAAATCTTCCCCAATTAGCCTATCGATTGGTCTCCGAAAAGATTTGATGTTGTACCCTATCTTACCTAACCAAAGGTTGTAAAGGCATGTTAACATTTGTTATAGTTGTCTACTTGCTTAAAATAGGGAATGTGGTACAGACTATTCCGCTGATGTTGACGGATTCGGTGATTCGGTGACACCAACAACAATGTTGTACCTGTGGTACTTGTGGTAGATGTGGTTCCATAGCCACCTTATAGTGGTGGTAAAGGCATGTCAATCCGGGGATAGTTGTCTACTTGCGTAAAGGAGGGAAGGTAGTATAGATTACTGTCTACCGCTTGAATGACTTCAATGAACAGTAATACCTACGATGAAGTGGTGCACTAGCCCACCTTATTGGTGGTGGTAAGGGCATGTCAAATTCGATTCCTTGTAGATAAAAGTTGTTCTCATCCTTTTATGAAGTTGGTTCGGTGCATGGAATCTCATGATGTGTAGTTGCATGCGTTTGACGAGTTAACAGTCACTATTCTATAGATCGTAGTCCACACAGCTGTGTAGATCATGAATAAAAAGTACATTTTTAATAAGAGAAAATTTCAATTTTGGTCTACTGACTATTGGAGTTGTGTTAATTACAAAACTTGGCTTTCAAAAATGTAACTTAGTACCTTGACTTGCAATTTCTATCAATTTTGGTCACACCGGCCAAATCTCACCGGAAAAATTTAATAGGTCAAATAATGAGGGTATTTTAGTCATTTTAATCGTTTTCTTTTTTCTCCGATGATCTTTTCCCCATTTCCGGCTACGAACAACCTGCTACTATCTCTCTGCCGGTCTCACGCAACTCCATCTTCGTTTGAGGAGGCAGCAAAGACCACTGCCACTAAGCACACACATTAATGGAGGGTCCGGCGGCGGCGGTGATGCTTCTGCTTCATGCCCTCATATGATGCAAACTTCCCGTGTATGTATCATTGTTTCCTGTACACATTAGGGGTGTAAACGAATTGAATCGAGTCAAATATCTTATTATTTGATTCGAATTCGTGTTTGTATTCAATAAATATTTGAATCTAAAATTTTATTCGTATTCTATTCGGCTACATTATCCGAATATATTCTATTCAACTCAAATATTTGAGTTCAAAATGCCTAACTTAATAACTCAAATATTTGAGTTCAAAATGCCTAACTTAATTTTTTTTACAAGTTCTCCAATAAATTAAGCTAAAATGTAATAAAAATTTAAATTTAAATAGCATAATTTTTTTTTTATTAATACACTTTTATACTTGTATATTTTATTAGTATACTAAGTCTTTAAAGTTTTAATTTATATATATATATATATATATATATATATATATATATATATATATATATATATATATATATATATATATATATATATATATTCTGATTCTTATTCGAATTCAAATAAAATTGGATTCGAAATATGTATTCGAATTCTAATCACGAATTGAATTAAAAATATTTGATTTGTTTACGCCCTTACTTCACAGTTGAGAATTGAGCAGTCCCCTGATGACGAGCATCAGAATCGGACGCTAGTCACGCTACTTCCCGTCGTCGACGAGGACGCAACTGAATCGAATGCCGCCTCCAGATTTATGATGAGTAATATGGATAAGGATTAACATAGAACAGATTTATGATGAGTAATATGGATAAGGATTAATGTTTCTGAATTCTTGCTTATTTGTCATTGTTTTGACTGTATATAGTATACAATACAATCTTGCTTATAAAGGTTTATTATTTGTCACTTTTTTGACTGTATATATCATGAAAGCAGCTCTGCCTACCCTTGCACAGCTTGTACATTCAAATGACGAGGAAGTCCTGACAGATGAATGCTGGGCGAGAAAATCCAAGCTGTAATTGAGGCTGGAGTCTGTCACTGCCTTGTTGAGCTTCTACCGTGAGAATTAGATTTTAATTTCTATCTTTTGTAAGTTTCCATTTTGCTGTGTGGCCAAATAAATTACCAACTCTTTAGTCCATATTGAACTCCCCTCCCCCCAAATTTGTACTATCCATGATACATTTTCCAGGTATATATAGCTTTGGAAACAGTAAATTAAGCTAGGTAAAAATGGACTAATCAATATTCAAAGTGTGTTGTGTAATGTAAATGATCTATTTAAGTGCCTTTTGTGCTTCCCATTTCATGTCTTAAGCTTGTATAACCTCCTGTTCACAACCACTTGGTTATTGGTTATGCAGATAAACTCAAAAGGATCCTTCTATGCAAATCCAACGACATTGGATGTACCAACAACTGAACCATCCTTATACAACAGTATGGTTAGGATTTCTCCATCATGGGCTATATTTTTCACAGTTAAACACTATCTTTGTCTCCTTGTAGATATATATCCTTCATATTGTAGACCAAATATATGGCATTGTAAAGCTCTGCCTGAACTTTAAATAATGGCAGCATTTGGTATCTAACACCATATTGACTCTGAATTGAACATCTATATGCAGGTATACTACTGTATACTCGAATTGTAACTCAGAAAAACAGTGATGTAAATAATTTGATCTACAAAATAGTTTCTCTAAAAGTAAAATAAAACTACAAACTATTATTGAGTGTCGGTGGTGTCTTATTGGTACGCCCATCCAACTTTACTTTCAGAGAAATCATTTTGTAGATCAAATTATTTACACCACTGTTATTATGAGTTATGCATTATACAAATCAACATATCATGAACTGATTCGTTACGTAGCAGTTTGAGAATCCAGGCCTAGTTGGACATGTTTGTCAGATTGTTGTTGACATCATGTAACTCTGATCTATCAGTATGTCTCTCTTGTTTTCTAATAGTAAATGCATCTTTGGAACCCTTTATATAAGTTTTTAGTAGCCAGTACTCTTGTATGCTCACTAAATGAATAGGTTGTTCACATGGATTAAATTTTAACATGCAACAAACATTTGTCCTTAATATTGTTTTTTTTTTTTTTTTTTTTTTTTTGAAGAAGAATTGGTTTGTTCCTCACTTTCAACAACCCCAAGTAATTGTTTTTAAAACTCTTCTGTTTATTGCAGTTCATCATGTCACAGTTGGGAGGCTTTCCAACTAGCACATACTTCATATATGTGTGAAATCTGCAAAAAAGGCTTCGAGAATGGACTAGAATCTGTAGCTTGTGAGATACATTCTTTATTTTGTTTAAAATATGTTTTCTTTTTTTTTTTTTTTGCATTCTCAATCACGATCTTATCTTACCTATCAAAATGAGAGAAAAAACCACTGAGCTAGAATACCATAAATACTCATTTGTTAATATTATTAATGGTTTGTAAATAAATGTATGTTATTTTGGTTATGCAATTCGACTAGTCAAACTTGAACCCTAACTCAAAATTTAGACCTCAATTCGAGCCAACAGATTTGAGCCTGAGATTGAGCCTTCAATTTTAAGGTTCGGTCGAGCTTGAGTTCGGCTTCGCTCAGTTGCTACCGTAGTTTGGTATTATCTCCACATCTTCTTTGGTTGTAGTTAAGACGTTCTTTTCCTCTAAATTTTTCTCTTCCACGATTTTTATCAGATCCTCCACTTCTTTGATGTAGCTCCAATTTTGATGCAATCTTGTCCGACTTTCTATCATTTTTTTTTGCTCTACAATTGATAAGAGCTTGATATTGTGTGACTGTTATTGAAACTACCAAATGATCATACTTCATCGAAGAATTTTTTTCAATTACTGCACCATCTTCAGTAGTGTCTTCAAATTAAATAACCTTATCTTATTCACCGAATTAATAAGACGAGTGAAATACATGAGATTATCTCACATCGATCATATAACCTTCTCAATGATTGTAACTTAAACTTCTATGTTCCAGCACTAGTTACTAACTACCAAAAAATAGAGTAATTAACACCTTGGTGAATCTTACACTAGGCAGAAGCTAGAGGCGATATTCATGGGATAAAGGTGGCAAGGGGTGCACCATTGATTACGCCGATGATAGTGTGCTATTTCTATTTTTTAGTGCAAGTCAGTGAGAAGTCGAAGCAATAAAGGAATCTTTGGATTGATTACGCACTTTTTGTTTGTCGATGACAGTGTGTTATTTTTTAGAGCAAGTGAGTGAGAAGTAGAAGCAATAAAGGAATCTTTGGATTTATAGTGTGGAGCTTCAGGCCAAGTCATAAATTATGACAATCAAATATGATGTTGAGCACCAGTACATCACCGGCTACCGGCTATGAAGCTAATTTTCTGGGTGTACAGATAACTAGTGATTTGGGCAAGTACCTAGGCCTTCCATCATTCTTGGGACAAGTCAAAATTTTCATTTTGTTGAACATAAAATTAGAGAAAGACTCAATTCATGGCGGGTAAGGAAATTTTGTTAAAGTGTGTTGCACAGGCCCTTCCCATTTTCACTATGTCTATTTATCTAGTTGTGAAAGCATAGAAAGAATGATGAATGATTTGGGTGGGAAACCGTACCGGTGGTGCTAATAACAAAGGGATTCAATAATGGTTGAGTTGGAGCCAAAGTGTCAAGGTGCATGAGTTTATTGAAAGCTGGTTATTTCCCCACATGTGGAGGAGCACAGGTCAACCTTTGCTTAAAGAAGGGGTCATCACGATATGGCAGTTGTTATATTATAGACCGCGGTGCATAATCGATTATGCACCGCAGCCCATATACGACGCCGTTTTATTAATTAAATGAAACGGCGCCTTTTAACGCCGTCGATTACCTTTCAGCGCGTTGTTTCCTTTTTTTTTTTTTTTAAAAAAAAAAAAAAAATTAAATATAAAAACGAAAAAGGGAAGTCTTGTCGTCACTTTCTTCTCGAACAACCCACACTTACCATTAGCACTCTCTCCAAGCTAAAACTTCAACCGCCATTTTTTACCTCTCGTCTCCATCGCTGTTCTTCTTCGTATTTCTGCATATTTCAGTTCATAACTTCAACAAGAAGGTAATAATACTATTGTATATAATGCGATGTTCTATTTACCTACAAAGAAAAATATGTTCTACAGTACATTCTAGGTTTTTTTTCAGACATTCCGAAAGCAACATTCATATTTTGCATCACAAACATGCATTGAGAAACTATAATGCATTTAATATTACTGTAAACCCTAAATAAGAAACACATGCAATCAACAAAACTATAATATTACTGTAAACCCTAAATAAGAAACACATGTTTGTCTTTTTCATATAATGTGGTCCCAGATGTTTGTGTATAAAATAAAACTGCAAAGTGTGTTTAATAATACGGAATGTGTGGTCCCATATATTACATATGAAACTACTATATCCAAATGAAACTCTATTTCTTCTTAAATTAAACTGCATTTATTCTCAACTGAAAGTGTATTGTATATGAACTAAAAGTGTATTGTATATGAACTGAAAGTGCTTATATGTGTGTCGCATTTCGTTTTAAAAATGTTCATCAACACTACAATCTTATTTCAACTGGAAGCGTATAGTATAATAACTGAAAGTGTATTGTATATGAACTGAAAGTGTATCGTAGATGAACTGAAAGTTCTTATATGTGTGTCTCATATTGTTTTAAAAGATATTCATTGACACTATAATATTATTTCAATTGAAAGTGATTTGTATATGAACTGAAAGTATAATGTATATGAACTGAAAGTGCATTGTATATGAACTGAAAGTGTAATGTATATGAACTGAAAGTGTATTGTATATTAACTGAAAGTGCATTGTATATGAACTGAAAGTGTAATGTATATGAACTGAAAGTTTAATGTATATGAACTGAAAGTGCATTGTATATGAACTGAAAGTGCTCATATGTGTGTCGCATTTTGTTTTATAAAATATTCATCATTAAAACTTATCATACTGTTGCAGACCATACCTATACAGATGAAGAAAGCCACAAGAAAGCAAAGAACCAAGGCCGTCTTGGACTCACAAGCAGCCAAACCAACGCCACCATCTCAACCAACACCTGCTGCCGAAAAAACATCAAAGAACGTTGAAGCCACAGGACAACCTGCAGATAAACCACCAACACCTGAAAATGAACCAACCATTCCATCTGAACCAGAACAAACTGTGCAAGAAGAAGATGGACAGGAAAATGGACCACCTGAAAATGAACCCGAACCAACTGTTCAGGTGGAAGAGAGGCACAAAAAAAGGGCACCCAAACGCAAATCAACAGCAAAATCACCAAAGAGAGCTAAAGCCACCAAACAATCTGCTCCTGCTCCTAAGACAAACACAACTGCATCAAAACCAGCTGCTCAGGGATCAAAGGACCAGGGACCATCGTTGCCCAAGCGCAAAGCAACAGCAAGCCCCAATGTTGAGAAGAAAATACACAAGAGAATAAAGAAATCTGCAGTTAAGAGTGAGATGAGTAAAATGCAATATCTACAAACCAGAATGTCACCAAAGTATTTTCGGACCCTCATTTCGTCTCTATCACCAGATCAACGCAGAGCAGTTCAAGATATTGGGTTTGCTGCTATGTTAAACTTGACCATATTTGACTGGGATAGCAGACTAACTAGGTATCTTGTCGAAAGGTTTGATGTCTATGAGTGCATACTGATGTTGGAAAATAATGACATGCAACTGTCGGAGGATGATGTACACAGCACAATGAACCTTCCCCAAGGGAAAATCCCTGTTATTGAGGCTCCTTCTGAGAATGAATCTGTTGAATACAAGAAATTGTTGGCAGCTTGGAGACAGAGGTGGGGAATAACAAAAGGTTCTCCGGTGACGAATACAATGCCAGCGGCCATTATTGAGAGAGGAGACAGTGGAGATATGTTCAAGAGAGACTTCATTGTGCTGCTTGTATCCAGCTTGGTAAAGGGCAACCAGAGCACAAAAGCAACCTACAAGATTTTATACTCCATGCTTGATGTTTCAAAGCTGAAAGACTTGAATTGGTGTCAATACACATTCAGATCTTTGGTAAATGCTGTTGAATCTTGGAAGAATAACAAAGAGAGCTTTTTCACTGGTCCTTCACTGTTCTTGCTGGTAATATTTTGGTATGCACTTGTAATAATTTTCTCATTAATCTATACACTATATGCTACTACAATTACTGATAACATAACTGCTAATTATAACTTTTATTCTTTCAAACACAGTTAACATACCTTGACAGAGTACAATACAAGGGTGAGAAGATTCAAAGGGATTCCCCTGCAATAACTGCTTGGACTGAAGAAACAGTTAAGCAAAGAATCAAGGCAGAGGTATTGTCTGGAAAATTTGGACGAGGAAAGGTACTTGACAGAGCTCAACATCAAGAACGTGCGACCAGGGAAGAAAACATACCTGAAAAGAGCGGTGCTCAAGTGGAAGGCAGCCAATCAAATGAGTCCCTTGGGAGGACTACATCTGTACTGAATAGGATGGCTGACACAGTTGTTGAGTTTGCTGGGGTGATGGCTTCTATAGGAAACACAAGAACTGGTGGAGAAATAATTAAGATCACTTTTGGGAACATTGCTGACATGATTACTTCAGTCTCTTCTTCACAACCAGAACGAGAGTAGACTTTATTGTATGATGATGAGCTTTACAATCATCCAAGTTTCCTTGAAGCAGTCAATGCGCTTGAACAGGCATTCTACCAAACCACCAAAGACTACCCGACTCAAGCTCCTGCTAAATCACAAACGCCACATCCGATTCAAACACCAAGTTTTGATCTTGGAATTAGCCCTATAAACTCATCACAACCTCAACATATCCCTGAAGAAATGAATGATACGCAAGCACAAGATGATACTGAAAACCAGAACAATGAAAGTGATATTCAAGAAGAAAGTGACAGTTCAGACTCTGGTGAACCACAACTGGAAACCCCACCACCTGGAACTGAAAACAATCTATTTGATAGGTATGCTCCAACCTATTATATCTACACTGCTTCCACTCATTTTCAATTGAAGTGCAACCTTTAATAAATGAAACTGTATTATTCATAAAGTGACACCATATTGTATGCAAACCGACACTGAATAGTATGCCTGACATATGTGTATATATATATATATATATATATATATATATATATATATATATATATATATATATATATATATATATATATATATAACTGAAACTGACTTGTTTATCAAGTGATACTGCATTATATGCACTGTATCTCTATATGCTGATATATGCATGATCTTCCATAAAACTGCAGTTTGATTTCTGGGCCTGACATTGATGACAACAATGAAGATGTTATAATTGATAAGACAAAGAGGATCAGGAACCTGCCGTTGCGCCTAAGGTCCCCATACTGGACAACAAATGTTGAAAAGCTGAAGAATGTCGGTC